AGATAGCCCAGAAGTCTGCATTCTTCATATATTAACAATAGAAAATAATGAAGCATGGAAATTGTTGTAACATGGTGTTGTCTTAAATTGATTCAACCGTAAGTTCATACATGAAATGGTGAATTGACCAGCTTCCCATTCAGTTCTTCATGATCTGGTTTTTCACCATCATACACACTGTGCAAATTGTATTCAGAAATGGCAAACTCTTTTGCAACCTCCCCAGCCTCAGCCCCCCAAAGATGTGCTGGGAGCTGACTCCTGATATTTTTGGAGCTCCAGGCCTCACATCTGGAAGGGGCCCAGCTAAGGAAGAGAGCTTGATAGACACTGATGTCTGGCATTGAGATCACTCTTAATCATACTTTGAATGCATTTAGCAATACACTTATAACCAACAGTTTTGGGTGTGAAGGGTTAGGCTACTCTATCTAGGGGATGCTTTTCTCCTTCGGAGGGGGGTGGGGGTCACATTTTAGGGTCTCAATTTACTCCCTAACTTGAGCCTGCATTCATTTGCGAATGGAGTATTGAGAAATTAACAGTCACACACACTTCACCCAGATCCTCTCTTTTTGAAAAAAAAAGAATTATGCGCACTTCTCACTCCACCTGAAAATGCTCCATTTATCGGTTAGCTAGCTAGAGATTTCTCTGCCCATGTAGAGTGATGTACCAATTTGACACCCAAACACTTTAACCTCTGAGGAATCATTCTCTCAAGGATGCAACAGTAAACAGCTCTAGAAAGGAGGTCGGGGGGGGAAGATATTACAACTAGCTAACGGAAGATTTATTGGATTTTCAAAACGTGAATGCTTCGCTGGTATCTGAGCCAACTGGCTGTTTTTTCAGCGGTGCAATGTAGGAGCTGGGGAGCGGTTTTTATTTTTGAGACAATCCACTAGGGAGTTCTCTTTTAAAAGACCTGTTCACTGCAGATTCGGGGCCAAGGAGATCCTGGCACCCATGAACGTTTTGGAGATTTAGACAGAAACGTTCAGCAGTTAAACCGCGAAGATTCCACCTACTTTCCGCCCTGTGCCCTGCACTAATCCTTTTTTAAGAACTGGAATTTATGCTGCACACACAGCTACAGCCTCCGCCAGGTACGAGGCCACCTGGAAGCAGTTCTGCAAGGCTTTAGATGGCCTGGGGGGGGGGGCGTGATGATGGCCTGAAACGATGGAGCCCGGGCCGCTCTGCACAGAGCAAGAGGCTGGAGAACGGTGGCAGGTTGAACCAGACCCTCAGTCTGCCTCACCTGAGAGCGCTGCCCCATTTCTCCCGCTCCCCAACAGAGAAGAACAAATGTAAACATGGCTATCTGGAAGTGCCGTCGTTTCGGTACGAAAACTGCGGCTCCCCATCCTTCCATTTCCTTATTTCAACCCTGAGATGATCTATCGGACTCTACAGAATAACGTTCTTCAACTAAATGCTGGCCTTCTTGGAGGAGAAAGCCAGCGGAAGGCCACATTTCCAGGAGGACCAACCGATTCTCGTGGACCAAGCGGTCAGCACGTGACCAGAGGCTGCCTGCCAGCGCGAGGCTCCTTGCTGCCTCTCTCTGACAGCAGAGGGCAGAAAGCTGGGCACTGCGTGCCACTTGCCTCTTCACCAAGGGCGCTAAATAGCAGCGGATTGGGACCCTTCCCTGGCGGTTCTCATTCAGGCCGTGGAACCAGGCCTCGCCCCTCTTCTCTGCTTCAGGCCTCAAGCTTTTGCACGTGCCCCACATTCACCATCCTCATCTCAAGCTGTAGCAGGATGGGAAATGAATGCCTGAAACCTTTAAATTTTGTTCATGTTTCTCTTCATTCTTTTTATGTTGAACTGACGTGTACTCACAGTGCAGATTGTATACTGTTGCCTTGAATGCAAGTGTGTAAAACAATCCACAGACCAAACCTGGAGTGTGTCCCTATTTTAGGAAGACTTGGCTGATGTTCTCCTTGCTATTCCAAGGTTACTAATTTATGTAAGTCAGGTGCATATATTAAATATTTAAGATGAACGTGTTTAGAGAAGTCAACAAAAGGTTTCAAACATACAGACGGATATCCATGATATTTCTAGAAACAAAGTAAGTCCTCATTACAGAGATGCTCCCAAGCTATTGGCAGATGAGACACTCTTTTCCCAGTGAAGTCCCTTCGATACATATGGCTGTTGGTGTTGAACATTAAGAAGAGGGCATGGTTAGTCAGGGTGGGACTGTTCCAGCTTCATAAACATTATAAGCTGAAGCTGGGGTGAGTGTGTGTTTTGAATCAAGGTGAGGAGACAAGAAGAAGATAGATGCGATTAAGCCCTGAGATACCACCATTGAGACACAAACTTTAGGAACTGAGTTGGATTCTGAGGTCTACAAGCTATGCAGATGTATCTGCCCTCTACACCGAGACTGAAAAATGCTCTCCTTCCACAAGTATGAAGACCTTCTAGCTGTGAAGTTGGGCAGTGAAGTTTCTACACAATATTTTTGCTACAGAATGATCTGTGAAACAGAACAAAAGCAATGGGGCGCAGAAACCAACATCTTACAGGTCCAGTGCCTTGGGCCTATGAGGATTCCAGCACTTTTTCTTTTTTCTTTTGGTTTCTGCTCCAAATGTGTCTCTCCAGAGAAAGGAGAGGAACCTAGGCTGTATTCAGACATAACAAGGTTGGCCTTGCAGGGGGCGGGCAGTATTGGGCGACAGCTTCATGTTGAAGCAACCACGTCTGTAAGCTCCTTAGGCAGACATTCCAAATCTTCCTCTATTCTGAACAGCACTCCAAGCCACCCAGTCCCTGATCACCCTGTTTTTAATTGCAGACATGAAGGTAACCTGGTCTTCCAACACAGGGAAGCATTATTCCCCTTAGACTCTGTTGACAGTATTGGGATTCACCCTTATCACTCCCCAAGCCCACAAGATGCCTTCCCATAACATCAGCCTTGGTGGGGTTCCTATCAAGGTCTGCCCTCAAAGTGCAAAATGCCCATCCTTTCCGAAACTGGCGCAAAACGGCATGACTTCTGCTGTAAGAAGACAATCTCCCTCTTGCTTAAGGAGTCACAGAACCCAATACAGCAACTGGGAAAAGGCTACCTTGAGTCTCTTTGCGTGATGGCCATCATGGCCAGCACCCACCGTCGCAGAAGCTTCCCCCGAACACCAGCCAGCCCTGTTCTTCCATTCCATTCCACTGCCCTGATCCTGTGCCCGCTGATGCAGCTTCACACAGAGAATCAGACCGGGCAAAGGTTTTCCTATTACTTGTTTTCCTTGCCAAGCAAAGTCCTGTACCTACTGTGTAACACAAAACATACAGGATCAGTGAGAAAGAAGTTGGGCATGGATTAAAAAGGGGGGCTGAAATGTGCAAACCAACGCTTAAGCATCAAAAGAATGAGTCGTCTAAACCAACAGGGATGTTCTCACGTGCTTATTTTTGGGGTGCACCCAGTTGGGTCTGCTTTGGCAATAATCACGAATGAAAGCCCCAGCCTTCCGGACCCACCGCTGAGATCGTCTCCGCAGGGCCGTTTAAGGAGCAGAGACCCTCCAGCATCTGAGGCTGGCGGGTATCTGGGCATTATCTGGGCTTCTGGATACTCAGACCCAGTGCCTCCTTCAGAGCGGCAGCTGGTCCAGAAACCCCCGACAGCCTCTCCCCGGGTCAGCAGGCCACCCACCGGCCTGGAGCTGCGCTAGCTGGTCTCTCGGCTGGCTCAGATGGGAGCAGGAAAGAGTCCGTGGCCCTCTTTTCCCGAGACAAGCCCCCCGCCCCCCCCGCCGGTGGGCCCGCGCGGGGGGGCCCTCGCGCGCGGCGAGGAGCCAGCGCCTGTGTTTCTCCC